GGTTGTCGATATTTTGAATTAACCGTTCGAGATATGTTTAAACTATGATAAAATCTACAATCTAGTTCAGACAGCGTAATTGTACGTACTATCGTTTTAAAGGTAAAATTACACGTAACTATAATCTAATTGTATGTATCTTTACATAAAGCAGGATGAGTGTAACAACTAAGTCATGAAACGATTAAAGAGACGTGTTTAGTAATAAGGATTATTAGGAGTTGTATCTCATCTAGAAATACGCCTATTGCAGTTGTTAGTATATATAACTGAGATTGTTTAATTAAAATTTTCCTTGTTCAGAAAATATGAGGAAGATTGCGGATCAATGTCAGATTCCTGTGTGTATACCGCTAGAAGTAAAGACTTCTGGGCGTCGGGATTTCCTCCAGGAATAACCGTAGATGAATTGAACCATTATTGCAGGAAAAAAATTGCTGGTAAGATACATTCGGATGTGATGAAGTACAAAATAAGTAGATGCAATATTTTCTTAATCCACAATGTTGTTATTAAAATAAAATATTGTTTTGGAATAGTTTAATGTCATTTATGATGATAAACAAACGGCAGTGACAACAAAAACGTAAATAGTTGGCTGTATTAAATTGATAAATCATGTAGAAGACTGGCAAAAATTGTAACAATATTTTATGGTCAAATTTATTTAAAAATCTTTAACTCTAACTTATGCTTACTTCACACTTTAATAGTCTTTGAAAATCATTCACAATCAGTTAGGAACGATATTTAAAACTTTTGGCGTTATCATTAGTTGATCGTGAATTACATTGATGAATAGTTCTTATCGCTTCTAAGTTGATCTTGTAATTGTAATTAGTATTGCAGATCATCCGAAAGACAACCTGCATCTTTTGGAAGGATCGTTTAAAGGTTTGTTATCGGAATATCAAAGATGCTTTAAGAATTTCCACATTCTTGGCGGATCTGTAGATGGCGTCAACAAAGAGAATATATCTCAGGTAGAGTAAATTGTTTGAAATAGAAATAATATCTCAATGACTTCAATAAAGCGTTTCAGTACGAATATCGTGGTAAACGAAAGGTACCGGAGAGTTTGATCAGTCTTGAAGGCCCTTTAGATTTGAATTCGGAATACAAGGTCTCTTACGTAAACTACTTTAATCTGGGCAAGGTCAAAAGAGAAAATACAATGGAAAATGGCGACAAAACACATAACAGGTAACCTTGATAAGTATTTATTCACGGACGGTAAAAAATTAATTGAATCGATCCATGTAGCGCACGATTTAATCTTCATGGAATCTAAAATCGCCACCTTTTTAATTTACAAAGTGCGTCAACTTACTTAGGCAAACTTCTACCATCATTAATATCAAGTAAATTATTTTAAATGACAACAAGAAATGGAAAATATTATTAATTCTTATTTTTAAATATTCTACATAATACTTAACATTCTAAGCCTCTGCCTAAACCAGTCCAGTGATCTGGAACCTCAAGGAAGTACCTATGCATCGCTACAATGAATCTTTTCCTGTATTCCTCAGGCGATATGATGGTTGGTAACTTTCCTTGACCTCCTAAAATTCCAGACTTCTTCACCATCGTTTCTAATTTTTTATCCCACGTAAATGTTCTTATATAATCTGCAAGAAATGGAATAATAAACAAAATGAGCCAATTCGATGACTTCGCATGTTTAATTACATTTTATGCCTCCTTACACCAAACCAAAAACAAAAAATGTATCTTAATATAGCAATTTTTTTGACATTTAGAATCAAGAAAAAGTATGTGATGCTTGTGGGAGTATTTTCAACAACATATTATTTTGTTTTTATGTATTCTTACCTATAATGCCTAAAACCAGCTCTTTATTGTTGGAGTCCAGTCCAACTAAAAGAGAATAATCCATCACAGACTGACCAGACAAAAATTCAGTATCACTGTGAATTGCAGCCGTTAATACTGCCTTGGAATGTGGAAGAATGTACAACGGTGCTTCACAAGTCACTGAAAAAAAAAATATGAACTTAAATAGCGACATAAAAAAGATATTGATTATTTGTATACTTACTTTTGAGTAAATTTTCATCTAATAATACTATCTCTCCGTCACCATCATCAGGATTGACTAATCTATTTCGCATGGACCCTTTCAGATCAAACCTATGGGTTACGGACCTCTTGTAAAATAAATTTTCCATGACAAGTAAGTTTGTCCTGAGGGAAATGTTCGTGTGTTCGTTTCTGAATATAATCTGATAAATTCCAACAATTTTTCCGAGAAGAGTGGGCTGATTTGTTGACAGACATTTATGCATGTATGCAAAATAATTATGAGCCGAGTCCAGAAACAATTGTATCTCCGATTTCGGAATTTCTTTTAAGATGAAACGATCATCTGGACATATAAATAAAATTAGAAAAGATATACTAAACAGGAATTTCGAAATGATCAACGAAATTTTCAACCAGGAAAAAGTTATTTACCTTTGGTTTTGCAAAAAGATGATCCTGATTTTCCTCCTCTGGCATTCCACTGGACGCACCTCGATAATGATCTTATATAAGCTTCTTCTCCATCTGGTACGACTATTTTCCTTAACGAAGCAAATTTTTCTGCATGATACACCCGGCAAAAAAAATTGGAGGAACTATCTTGAAACTGAACGTCTACATGAGTCGATTTGTTATTTTTGTTTTCGTAATTTTTTTCAAATGCTATTACTTCATCTGGGTTACCACTGAAATATAATAATTATTGTATTAAAAGAAAATAAAATAACAATTACTATATTAAAAGAAATTTTAAAATCAATTAAAATGGTATAGTATAGGTAAGCCATTTTATAAAAAGTATAGAAGTTCAACAATTTATAATCACAAATAAGCAATTTTAACAATAAACAGGAAAGAAATTATGTGAATAACTATTAATTTACAGTTTGGCTTCTCTTTATTACCCATTACCTTTTATATGTATTACAATTTCGTACCTGGTATCATTACTGAAATGACTGGGCAGATTTAAGTCTTGTTTTGATTCTTTGCTCCTTAAAAAAGACAAAATTCCTCCAGACTTTTCAATCGATGTGGTTAAATCATTTACATCATTTCTATCTCTGTCTTGACTTTTCCTCTTAACAATTGGACTGGGACTGAGTTCTCCACTTTGCGACTTTCTTGCCTTTATTTCTTCGAAAAACTTTTTATAATCGTACGAATTTAGAGCGTACGCAATTATAGAGCTCGGCTCGTTTTCGTAGACCACTAGTGGTGTATACACTCCTGCAGGCAGTGAATAATGTTCATGAAGACTAAATGGATTTGGCAATAAAGTTGTTGCGGTGGAAGAAGGGAGAAATTGCGACAAGATATTTTTCACTGTCTTCCTGTCTGTTTCCTTCTTGCCATCATAACTATCTTCATTTTGAGAAATTGTAGTGCCGTCTGACTGAGATCTTTGATGTCCTTTTAATAAAAGATTGGATTCGTTGGCAACTAGATACGAAAATAAAAAAATTACAAAACTAACATATACTAATAAAAGTAGAGTAAGTACCATCTGACTGGTCCAAACTTTTCATTTTTTTAGTGACACCAGGGCTGTGAGATTCGATCGCTGATTCATCCGAATTTGTGAGTATCTGTAACATTCTGTTATCATTTGAATTAGGACTGTCAGAGTTAGAGTTGGTGGTCTTTTCCCTTCTTTTCTCATTCTCTTTCTTCTTCGTTAAAGTTTCTAAACGTAGATTCCACTGCTCTGTGAATTCTGCTATTAAACGTTTTATTTTCATTAGAGAATCGTCGATGGTCCAAACAGCCGCGATGATTTCTTCGGGAAAAAAATATTTACAAGTGCCATTATTAATATTAATAACTTTGTACCTTTAGTAATTTCTTCAAAATTTATTTCTTTTTTCTCTAATGTTGGAGACGTGAGTTTGATCTGAACTTCTTCAATTTTTTGTTTGAAAGTACTTTTTTCTTTCATCAAGATGTGCTTAAGATTGTTCAAATTCTCGCCATCCATGGGTAACTCGGACAATTTCTCTCCAACAAAAGAAAACACCTCGTGACCTTTAGAAGCTAACACCTTAACTTCTTCGATCATAGTAACTTGTTTAGTTTCTATGTCGTACACTATGTTTATTAGAAATGGAGGGAGAGATATTTCCCATAACTGAACTGGTTTGTACCTACAGAATTAAAAAATATAAACTTAGTTTTTAAGAGTAAAATGAAATCTCACTTGAAAGAAGCTACAATATTTTTATATCCAAAATACTGATAATGATCTTGATGTATACTATGTTTACAACCAGAGAAACCTCTTCTTGTGTAAATTCCTCCATAGAATTTTAGTTCGAGATATTTGGCAAAAGAAAACGACCAAGTGTCTCCAGATAGAGGAACTATGGGCGATACTTTTTGACATTTGGTGCACCAAGTCCATGTTATAATACTATCTTCTCCATATTCATTTTCGAAAGTGTTCAATGAAATACTTACGCAGCCACCGTTATGAACGAAACGACGAACGTGTTTGACCATGGGAGTATCACACGTTTTCGATGGACAATTATAAGTTGAACGGAAACAATATCTTTCAAGAAAACAACCCAAAGGAATGTCATTTATTCCATAAAAGGTCATATAAAATACCCTAAAAGGATAAAAATAAATAAAACCTGTTTTTTCTTATAGTATTTTAAGTTTTTCGTCGACTAAGTAAAAACGGTTACTAAAATCTACGTTTCTTCCATTTGTAGCTTTCGATATCACTGTATTTTTTAATAAAGTTAAATGCCTTAGTCGTAAATTCGAAATACACTTTTCTTTCTTTTAATTTGTACATACCATGGATTGACACAAAAAGCTGGTGCGTTATTCGACTGACTACTGAAACAACAAAATAAAACTGCTAATTTTTGATGGTTTACTATGTCCAAAGCATCCAAAAAAGGCTGTGTGCTGCAACGCAACATTTGCTTAATATTCTTTTGATCATTTTCATCTTCATTACCCTCTGTGACAGATTTTGGTTGAATTCTGCCTCCACAAGCTCTAAAGTGGGCCAAAAGACCTTGAATTTTGTCATCATCGACAGTCGTGGTAATTTTTGTAGTGAGAAATGGGTGAATAGGTTTAAGCTAAAAATAATAAGAATGTAAAAATTTGGAATTTAACTTTTTCGCTTTAGTCAAAAAAATCAGCCAAGATTAAGCATTATACCTTTTCATTTTCTGCTACCTGTTTTTTTATTTCAGATTCTTTGTTAAATTTTATTTTCTTCTTATTTTCGAAAAGAACACTGTGATAAATGACGGTAGGGAAAAATTTTCTCAGCTTGCACTTCCTTCCAGTCTCAGTCTCTAAATAAGGCAAGGGAAGGACAATATACGGAGAAATACACAAAACAACGTCGTCAAGCGTCTTACGGAAATTATTTAAAAAGGGCAATTCTGCCACTGATAAAGTTTGAGATCCGCACTTTTCCAAGTTCTCTTCCGTTTTGGCTGACTGAAGGGGGTCTTTAAATGTCGAAACGTTCATGTTTGGAGATTGCTGTTCTGATTCCACAGTTTTTTTATTACTTTCGTTGTTATTGAAATTATTTTCATTAAAACTTTTTTCCAATTTCTTATTCGAAAAAAATACTTCATCATTATCGAAACTAGAGAATTCTTCCTTCTTTTGTGGCAATTCTTTATCCTTTCTTAAGACTTTTAAAACATCTTTGCCCTGATTGAATTCGCTCTCATCGATCGGTTCAGGCGAATTCTCAGTACTGTCTTCAAAGAATTCATTTGATGGATTTGGTGGCATGACAAATTCGTCCATTAAATATGATTTTTCCAAGCGCCAATTATAAGCAGCAAATATGATAAAAGATAATTTACTTTTTATTTTAGAAAGCTCTGATTGAAAACTACCCCTTAATAGAATCGTACCTCCCAAATGAGGAAATGGTAAACCTTCCATAAACACAAGAGTTTTACTCTTTCCTAAAAACCAAATTTTATTTCCAGAATAAAAAATTAATTCATAAATAATGCCCTAGGTAAATCAAAATAACTTACCTTTATCAGTTAAAAATGTCTTAATGTAGAAGCTCTTGCAAGTTCCCACTCGAAGCTTCCCAATATGAGCATCCATGGAGGTTACAATGTCTGCTTGGGTACATCTAGAAATCCTTTCTAAAACGCTTTGCTTTACATTCATTATCAAAGTGACTCCTTGTTCTCGTAGAAGATCTTGGGCTAATCGAGATACGTTTTTCTGTACCAAAACCAAATTTGGTTGCAAAGCAACAATTCGAGCAACAATATTCCTTAAATATTCGTGTTCCTGAAAATAAATAATTTAAAAATATTTTTAAGATAAATATAAAATCAGCAAATATTCCTACCTGCATTAAAATTGGTTCTAGAGACATCAATCTTCCTTCAGTCCTTTGATAAACGATTGCAGATTCCAGCAAAAGTATTTTTGGATTATCAATTTTTGCGAGCATCTTCTTGTGTGTAATATTTTTTGTAAAGACTAAACCCTTTATAAGTTTGCTTTCGTTTCTAACACCTCCCGGTATCTTTTTTATTTGAACGTATTGCCTGATGTCAATATCGTCTGCGTTGTGGTTTTTATCTACCAAATTTAAAATTAGAGAAAGAATCCGTTTTAAAAACAAAAGTATTTACCAGGTCTGATAACATCTATAACTTCATGAACAAGAAGTTTAAGGGTATCCCACCAAGACAAAGACAAGCTTTCTGATGCAAGGAGTTGTTTTGCTAATGTTTCTTCATGATCTTCATATTTCGCAGTTAAAATATTATAAGTTAATTTTTCGTCATGTTCTTCGCGAAGATGGACAGCATTATGCCAACCTAATCAATTTTTAGATATTTAGTTAAACTTTAAAAGTACAAGAAAAAAATTAATTACCACTTTCTGGAGCGTGTTCTCGTTGTTCTGAGGGCTGAACTTCGGGAGTTTCCTCCTGAATAGAGATAAATTTTTCTTTTTCAAAATCGTTTTCATCAATATCGCTCATTGAACTTTTTTCAGTATGAGCAGGTTTTGATAAATAAACTGTATTAGCTCCGATATTTAAATCTAAAGTATAAGAAGATGAAGAACTTAAATAGCCTTGCTGTTTTGTAGATGGTGGTACTGCATGTTCATTATCTGAATCTGTAATTAATAAATTGACAAATTATTCTAGACTACGTACTTTTTCATTAAAATTATAACGTATATAAAAAATAAAGCCATATGTAAACCAATTTAAAGAGGATAAATTTTAACTACTAAATGAATATTATATAGATAAGATAAGACGATATTTCGAGGGAAAATAGAGAGCAATTTTACACTAAACTCACTTGTACAATTTCAGTACAACTTCAATAAAAAGCAATTAGTTATTTTTAAAAGTATGTGTTTATATGTTTAACAAATAACAGTAAAAGTTAATTTAATTAATTAATGAGTTCAGTCATTAACGAAAAACCACTNAATAGAGAGCATTTTACACTAAACTCACTTGTACAATTTCAGTACAACTTCAATAAAAAGCAATTAGTTATTTTTAAAAGTATGTGTTTATATGTTTAACAAATAACAGTAAAAGTTAATTTAATTAATTAATGAGTTCAGTCATTAACGAAAAACCACTACACTTGTGCCAAGGAAACAATAAGGAGTCAATAAAAAGACAATTACCTGTTGCACTGGAGTCTTGGGGTATTTGCTGCATCCAAATTGGCTCATCTTGTATAGGAATTTCTACAGGGGGTAAATTTGGGCTGTCATCAATTTCTAGAGTAAAACATGGTCTATATAATGCATATCCATCAACAAACGACATTGTATCAGATACACATTCAATGTAGCCCCCATCTAAGAGTGCTTGACAAAGAGCTGATGCTTGAATTCTAAATCAAAAATATACAAATACACACAATATACAATTGTATCCTTTTTTTAACCTGTTATTTGCCTTTTGTTGAAAAATCAGCCAGTCTACTAGGGCAGAACCAAGAAAGCAATCATAATATGTTCGAAGTCTGTATCTGTGTGACTGAAGGGCTACACCAGTAGCAGCTTTACACATCTCTTCATAAAGATTTCGAAGACTGGTGGAATGTTGTAACACTCTACATTTTTCTTCAGGTGAAAGACAAACATTAGGTACAGATCTAAAGAAAACTAAATTAAACAATAAGTATGTGTACAAAATAACAAATTACCCTCTGTCTAAACCAAATTTCTCTTCTTGATACCCAATAGATATTTTTCTTTTCAAAGTTCCTGATGAACTATCTGAAACTGCAGCGGCACCATTAGCAGGTGCACTACAGTAAGATGAAGGTGCCGGTGATAATGGTCCATATTTATTCTGTAAACTTTCTTGTAATGCTTTAAGATCTGCTGTTAACTCTGCACCAACATCTGGAGACTGCAGATAGGAAAGTACAACTTTACAGCAGTAGGTGCACACTCTGAGATCCCCTTAAAGAAATTGAATTAATTTAATATTTCATTTGCAAGAAATAATACTAACCTGTGCATCCAAATATTTTCCCAGGTATTTGTTGGTTGCAGCATTGAGAACAGAAAATCTGACCACACACTCTACAATGATGTTTCCTTTTGAAGGTTGTAAATTTTTCACTACATTCGTAACACTCCTTGCTAACAGAATCTGGCATCCAATACTGCTTTAATTCAGTATCTGAGTATGCTTGTAAATTCTGAAACAGAATTGTTAATTACAATGTAATGCTTTATAAATGGTGAAAAACCTACACTACTTTTTAAAACTAAGAGATTGCTTATCCTTTTTAATACATTAGGCAAACTTCTACCATCATTAATATCAATTGAATAATAATTATCACTTAAGCTTTGGTCGTCAGATTTATCAACAGCCCAAGAGGGAAGGGATTCCTGCTCTTTATCACTTTTCTTTTCGTTACTAGAAGAATCTTCATTTCCATTATTCTTTTTGAAATTTAAAAATCTCGAGAAGAAATTTCCCATACCATTTTTTTCTGAAGGTTGAAGAGGAGCAAATTCAGTTAATTTAGTTGGTGATTGAAGGTTTTTATTCATTTTCTTGTTAATATACAACTTCTGATCAAGATTTTTCTGCTTGAAGTGGGGTTATAATTTTGTTTTGTTCTTCAACACGTATTTATGTACTCTTATTTGTATGATTTACTGCACAAACTAAATACAATAATTGTAAAAATAGTTTACAACTGTAGAAGACACCCATTTTCGATAAACAATCACAATAGCAATTACCTAATTAATAATTTTTAAGAAAACAATATGAGTAAAACTGACAGTCAGCTGACATCAGTTGTCAAGTAGTTAATTTTCTATTATTCAACAGTAGTTCACATATATCACGAAGAAAACTTTGAACTATTAAATGGGGAAGAACACAAGCACTGGCGCTCTTTTTTCAATTTTAAAAAGTAAATTCTCCAGTTTTTTTGTTACATTTCCTTTTCACACACAGAAAACAAATGATAATAATACAATTACGAATTGGTTCTAGAGACATCAATCTTCCTTCAGTCCTTTGATAAACGATTGCAGATTCCAGCAAAAGTATTTTTGGATTATCAATTTTTGCGAGCATCTTCTTGTGTGTAATATTTTTTGTAAAGACTAAACCCTTTATAAGTTTGCTTTCGTTTCTAACACCTCCCGGTATCTTTTTTATTTGAACGTATTGCCTGATGTCAATATCGTCTGCGTTGTGGTTTTTATCTACCAAATTTAAAATTAGAGAAAGAATCCGTTTTAAAAACAAAAGTATTTACCAGGTCTGATAACATCTATAACTTCATGAACAAGAAGTTTAAGGGTATCCCACCAAGACAAAGACAAGCTTTCTGATGCAAGGAGTTGTTTTGCTAATGTTTCTTCATGATCTTCATATTTCGCAGTTAAAATATTATAAGTTAATTTTTCGTCATGTTCTTCGCGAAGATGGACAGCATTATGCCAACCTAATCAATTTTTAGATATTTAGTTAAACTTTAAAAGTACAAGAAAAAAATTAATTACCACTTTCTGGAGCGTGTTCTCGTTGTTCTGAGGGCTGAACTTCGGGAGTTTCCTCCTGAATAGAGATAAATTTTTCTTTTTCAAAATCGTTTTCATCAATATCGCTCATTGAACTTTTTTCAGTATGAGCAGGTNGAAAAAAATAATTTATTAATTTTATATTAATTAATTTCCATTTCACTGCTTTAGATAACCAGTGGAGCGGTAAAAAGCTTAATAAGAGTTACAAAATGCTAATTTTCCTTCTTTTCAGCTTTTTTCCTCAATTTACACGTTTTAAGCACCTCTTGTAATCCATTCATTTCAATTTCTTTAGATTGTTTTTCTAGGTAACTGGGGAGCCAAATACATGCATTTATCAGCTTCAACAAAATCCAAACCGTAAAAGCTAAAATGAGGTACACACACGAAGAAAAAAACATTTTCCAAAGATCGACCTGCACTTTTTGGTTTTTCATATTTTGTTTTTAATACTTCAGGTTTATTTCAAAATTTGTTATTCTTTTATTACTGGCTATGAAATAAGCGCACTTATGTGTGTTTCTGTAAAGCAGATTAGTTTCTAAGTCTCTCTGCATACAAACAGACCAAATTGAATCAATATCTCGAAAGATATCAAGACATTTGGTTCAATTTATTATTACTATTCTATTTTTTAGTCCCTTCAGATCTTTTAATTCAAAAAAATCAAACTTTTGTAATCTTCAATATAATTTCTTTGTAATCACTTAATAATTGTTTGTCGTTATCAACAATTGTTTATGGAATTCAAATTAAAAAAAGCGGGGATTTTAAAAAAGTCTGAAGGGATTACAATCTCACAAATCAATCCGTAATTTGTATCAGAATATTTAGTTAATAAATCAACAGTTATTTGCTAGGATTTGATAGAATGAAATAAAAAAACCAAAGTTTTTTGTGCATGTATCACTGATGTGTCAAAAATAATCGATCAGTAAACGAATTTTTGTCATATTTTGTAACTATTGTCAAACATTATCAAAATGTTCTTAATGAAATCGTCTATAAATAATCAGAAATCTCATATTGTATACACTGTAACTTTGTTTGGGACAATATTCCTAGTGTTTTCAATTTATTACCATCGTAAAAGAAGTAAAAAATCGTTAAACTACGAAAAGAAAGAAACTCAGCATAATTTACCAGCAGACAATTTTCCTTTTAGAGAATCTCCAGATTTTACGTTAGATATTTACGGTGATGGCGACGATCAAGTTGTTTTTCTGAAAGAAATTGGAATGGCCGAAATTTTAATGGAAGAGCAGAATTTTGAAAAAGCAGTAGAGCATTTTGCTAGAGCGATATCACTCTGTGTTGATCCCAAATATGTTTTAATGGCTCTAAAAGAAAATTTACCCAAAGAAATTTATAAACTACTTCTCATTGAAGTCTTAACGGTCTATGGAAAGAAATTTTCGAAGCCCTACAGTTGTAAAAGAAAATTTTTAAGCAAAAGGCTTTCGTTACCAGAACTATACAATTAGTTGTCATATTTGTAATTGAAGTGCAAGGTAATACAGAACGTAATACACTTTTCTAATTTATTACTGCAATGTTTACAGTATCTATTTTATATTTATTA